GACGAGACACGTGTCATACATAATGACGTAGTGAGTTCACATTTTGGCAAACTCTAGTCAGGTCATGGACATGAAGTAAGAAGAGAAGAGGCCTCAAAATGACCCCTGAGTGACCCTGCTGTAAACTGAAGAGAGAACGACTCAGTATCATTTACCTCCACACATCACTGCTTGTCAGATAGATACAGGTGTGTTCATTTAACAAGGAGAACTAACATGACATGAAGTGGTCAGTAGGAGGCAGTAGTGTTCAGTAGTGTTTAGTAGTGGTCAGTAGTGGTCAGTACTCAATAACTCTTCTTCTGTTTTTCAGGTTCTTCAGGAGATTACAGCCTGACTCAGACTCCTAAAGCTGCAGCTGTGGACAAAGGAGCCTCTGTTACTCTCAGGTGTCAGATCAGTTAAATGTAGAGAATTATCTCGCCTGGTATCTTCAGAAAGGTTCAGAACCTCCAAAGCTCCTCATATATTATGCTACTACTCGTCACTTTGGAGTCTCCAGTCGTTTCAGTGGAATTGGTTCAGGATCTGATTTCTCTCTGACCATCAGTGGATTTGAGGCTGAAGATGCAGGAGTTTATTACTGTCAGCAGGGTTACAGCTTCCCGTTCACACAGTGAAAAAGACTCGTACAAAAACCTCCTCAGACTGAACTGAAACTGTTCACACTTCACTGAGTTTAAACACAGACGCTGCAGATACTTAACACTCAAATTTAATAATTCACCATTTTCTGTAGGTTTTGATTGTGTTTGATTAAAAAAAAAAAATAAATAAAAAAAAAAATAATAATAATAATAATAGTCTTTACAATATAACTATAACAGCATCTTCCAACAAAACTGAGCAGCTGAAAGGCCTAACCCCAGAGAGTTTCACAATGGGAGCTAAATGAACAATTTAAGACCATTATTCATGTGGAATTAAAAGTACTAAAATCTATGAAACCTTATTTATACACCACTTTCCATCTAGACCATAATAACTTCAATAATAATTAATATTTATCCCTTACACAGATTGTGCATATATATTAAAAATGTAAGAATAAATGAAGAGCAGCTAAATATTGAAATCAAATGAATTCCATTTTCTTTCCACTCTCAGAGACAAACTGAAGTGTGTTTACCCTGAAACAAAGATTTGTCCCATTTCCCTGATGAATATATTCATGGCTTTATTCACAACATTCAGCATTTATAAATACACATATGAAGCATGTGAATGAAAAGCCAACCCTCATAACCTGACCTCAAACCTACATTTATTCCAAACACTAAAGTGTGTGATAGAAAAAAGGAAGAATTCCATTGAAATGATGTAAAGACACAAAGATGCTTTTGATGCACAGCTCTTTATTTGGAGCAGAAGCTCCAGTTGGGACAGAGGCCTGTGTGCTGTGCTGCAGTAAGTGAAGTGGAGCTGTAGCTGTAGAGGCGTGAGCTGACAGCAGAGGGCGCTCTGCAGGCTGATCCCAGTGACTGTGTCAGTGGTGGGAACACTGCAGTGTGCTCAGTGTGTGGGACACTGGACTCTGGGAGCCCTGGCTGGCCTCACAGCTCACAGCCACGCCCCCCTCCCTCCACTGCTGTGCGGGGAGCGTCAGGCTGCTGCTCCAGCTGTAGTGGCCGTCCTTTTGCGGCACCGCGGGGCTCCGGCTCTGCTCCCCGCCCCCGCACCGCCACCGGACACCTTCCAGGACACGCTCCAGTCTGACGGGAAGCCCTTGTTGGCCAGGCACACGAGGGTGGCCTTCCCCTGGGCCAGCTCCTCTCTGGAGGGGGGCAGCACCCAGAGGCTGGGCTC